GCAAATAATAGAAGATGTTCCAGAAGAGGACCGTCTCCCAAGTGAAAAAATTAAATTCCTTGGCATCAAATACTGCCCCATAGAAGATAAATTTAAACTTTCCTTACCAAATCCCTCCGAAAATTCTAATCCAAAGAAATGTGACATTCTCTCATTTGTCGCATCCGTTTATGATCCATGTGGTATTTTATCCCCCATCCTACTACCCTTAAAATTATTCTTCCAATCATTATGGCTAAATGATCTGAAATGGACCGAACCCGTACCCGAAGAAAAATTAAAAGAATGGACTAAATTATTTTCTGAATGGAAAGAATTAAATTTCTCAATACCAAGAGGCATATGTCCTGACCCCTTAAAAGTGAAGCAAATTGAATTACATGCCTTTAGCGATGCTTCATCCTTAGTTATGTGCGCTGCTGTCTATTTACGTGTCCACCTTCCCCAATCAATCCATTCAACTCTCTTATTTAGCAAAACTAAGCTTAAACCTATCACAAAGAAAGGCCAAAAATTCACCATACCCAAAATGGAACTTGTAGCAGCCCTTATTGGAGTAAGAGCTCTTCTTTATGTAAAATCACAACTCCCCCCTTCCTATGTGGATGAGAATCTGACCCTCTGGGTAGATTCATCCGTAGTTATTGGTTGGCTAAATTCCCGATTGCCCATTAAAGATATATTTATTTATAATAGAATTAAACCAATACGAGTCACCCCAAATTTAAAAGTCCGGCACATAGCGGGAAGTCAAAACCCCTCGGACCTGGGCACACGCGGAGTTACAAAACCAAGTGATTTATTTGAAAATGATGTGTGGCTTTATGGACCATCTTGGTTGTCGTGTGCAACAAATTCCTGGCCAAAAGAAAATGCCGAAATTCCATCTTTCTCGTCAAATGACTACAAACCAAATGTAGAAACGACAGAAACACAACCGATAATGACATTCAATACCACGCAAACATTGACCAGTATAATGGAAATCAACAAATTTTCCCGATTGCCAAAACTTCTCCGTGTCACGGCGTATATTTTAAGATTTATTGCTTATAATCCCCATCCATCGATTTCCTCTTATTTGAAAAAACACCCCAGACTTACAACATTAAATGTACATGTCCGAGAGCTTCGCTCGGCTCTAAAATTCCTTATTAAACAAGAACAGATGTATAACCCCCCATCCGACCATGAAAAGAATTTATTAGGCCTCTTTAACGACGAAAATAATTTAATCAGAGCCAATGGCCGTTTAGGAAATAGTAACCTCCCTCAAAATACAATTATGCCATTATTACTCCCAGCCAACTCTCACCTCACAAAACTATTAATTTACGAGACTCACATCCTAAATCACCATGCCAGCCCACTCACCGTACTCTCTATGTTAAGAAGAGAGTTTTGGATAATTAAAGGTAGAAAAGTTGTCCATTCCGTTATTTACAAATGTTGTCTTCCTTGCAGAAGATTTAAAGCAATACCATTTGATAGGCCCCCATTCCCACAATTTCCAGAAAAAAGAGTCACACCCTCAAGGCCATTTTCAGCAATTGGTCTAGATTTTGCAGGACCATTAAAATTAAAGACGGAAAACGATCCCCTCCAAAAATTTTACATAATACTATTTGTATGTTTATCTACACGTGCCATTTCATTAGATATAGTCCCAAACCAATCCGCTTACCAATTTAATTTGGCCTATCGTAGATTTGTCTCAAGATTTGGCCAGCCCGAAATTATCTACTCTGACAGCGCCCCAACCTTTATTTCATTTAAACGCTCTTTGAAACCTTATTCCCCGTCCTGGATTTTTAGAATCCCACATGCAGCTTGGAGAGGTGGACATTATGAAAGATTTGTCGCCTCTATAAAATTCCACTTAAGACGTACATTATCCCAAGGAATTTGGGCCAAAATTTTTCCAATTGATGAGGCAAGAACAATAATAAACGAAATTGAAACTATAATTAATAGCCGACCCATTTCTTTTGACTCGTCCAACCCACAAGAAATACGACCTATACGGCCTATTGATTTTATAAAACCACTCGGCCAACCAAATCTCCCCTTTTCTTTAAATGAACATACACCATTCAAAATACAAAGCACATCAGAGGATATTCAAAATTTGTGGACAACACTCAAAACTCGGCGAGAATTATTCTGGAAAAGATGGAATACAGACTACCTAATGTCACTCAGAGAACAACATAAAACTTTAACCCCCAAATCACAAAGAAATCCAATACTAGGAGAATTGGTTATTATATTCGATGAAAATCTCCCAGTTTCCCATTGGCGCACAGCAGTTATTTCAAAATTAATAAATAATAATGACAATATCCCCGACGTGGCCGAAGTCCGTTTCCCATCCGGTCGTGTTGTAAAACGCTCAGTAAACCATCTCCTTCCATTAGAGACTTCCCACGAATTAAAACAGAGGTTAAATCCAGAAGAATTACAATTTACGGAAAGGGAGAAAAAAGAAGTGTTAAAAGAAAATAAAAATCGTGAGAAAGTAAATAATTATATGTTCAATCCAGAAATAGAGCCTACTCATCCGCCTGATCATATTATTCAAGGCGAAGATGAAGCATTAAAACAATAACAGTTTGTTTAAAATTTCCTTCCCACCAGTCATAATTTCTAATTGTAAATAATCAACTTCACATTTTTGTGGTGGGAGGGTCTGCGAAGAATCTCATAAACATTAACTCCCCCTTTTCATTTCCTTTTAAGCTTGTAAAAATCTTTTATCTTCGTTTTATTTTAATAAAATTTATTTAGTAAATGGGAAGTATAATCTCCCTTGAAATTTTCTCTTTTAATTTACAATTAATTCAACAAACTCAACCTTCCGAGTGGAACAAAACAACCTACTTATTATTAATAATTCTTATTGTCGCCTTTGCTATAATAGGCGGTTTAATTATTTATATTGGAATTAGGAGGAAGCAAAAACCCCGTAAAATTTGGACAGCTCCCCCAACGCTCTTGGTCATCTTAGCAATTATTTTTATACTCTCTCCTTTAGAAGCAACCCCAGCACGAAACTTTAAGCCATACAAATCTTCCTTTAAACCTTACAAATCTTCACTTTTCAAACGTGTAGGAAAGCCCTTAGCAAAATCAACTCTTCCTATAATTGCATCGGCCGCACTCTATTTCGGCTTTGAAACATTAGCCCAAACTATTACAGACAATCCCGAATATTCTCTTGCCATCCTTTCCGTTTTAGGCTGCTTTTTCATACTCTTACTCCTATTGTTGGCTAAATTAGCCGCTTATTTATATTATTACATTCATCCACGCACAGCCCGACCCCAAACAATAGAATTACAAGAAATTAATCACAATATTAACGAAATCATTAACCGAACAGACCCAAGACGTGTTTAATTAAATTAATTTAAATTAAGCTAAATTAACTATTATTTAAAATTATGTCTTCAAAATTACGTCGAAATATTAAAGAAGTAAAATGCTTAAATGCCCAAGTACAAAGACACCTTCCCAATTCCAACAACAATATTCCAGCCTCCCATAAATTACTCAAGAAACCCACTGTTCCGAAGCCATTGGCTGAGGATCTTAATAAAATTTCAGTTAGTGCTGGTGATGCTACGATTGAGCCTTCTGGTCCGCCTACAGCAGCAGTGCCACCTTCTTGCCCCGCTCATGTTCCAACACCTGCTATCGACGACAAACAACAACAACCACCAGCAATAGCCGTGAAGGATATCCCACTTCCTGCCGCACCACCAAAAGAACATGGTCTGCCAATGGAACAACCCAAAACAATTCCTATCCGCTCACGTGTCCGCATCGACTCTACAGGTTCTATGGAATGGCTCCCTACCCACGAACAAAGCTACCGAAAGAACCTTATAAAGAAATGGGCCCGATCAAACAAGAAGAGTAGCCGGCCAGCTGATAAAGAAAAACCAACTATTACAAAACCGATCCCTTTAAAAGACATAAAAATTAATTCAAATCATAATCATCCCTCATTTCATGTACAATCGACTTCTAATGTCATCTATCTTCCTCCGCCGCCTCCTCCTCCACCTATTCCAATTGTTACTCAGAACCCTCTCTTTTTAATTGTAATTCCGTCTACTCAAATTCAAGCTCTTACTTACGCTCCGCTTCAATAATTGGGCGGAGTGTCTCATTTCGAAATGAGATTTTTTATATAATTAATTATTAATCATAAATACATATTTGTGTAATTTCCCACCCGTGTAAAGAAAGCGGATTGTTTCCAGCTTTCTTTGGTTTTTACAATTTCATTCTAAAAATATTCTCAACTTCAATAAAATAAAATAAATTGTTCGCTTTTTAATAAAATAAATATTTTTTGTGAAAGAAATTGATTTTAATAGGAAGAGAAATTTCTAGGAAATTAAGTTTGAGAAAAGAAAATTTGAGTTAAATTTACTTAAATTGAATAATTTGGAAAATCTATTATGTAGCCATACGTGATATCTTTTACATTTTGGCTTTTTGAGGGTGCCTTATTACATCTATCCATTACCAAATTATTGACAAAATTTTCAATTTTTCATTCCACTCATACATAAATTTTAGAGAAAATAGCTGTTTAAACAAGCTTTTTATTAAATAAATGATTTATTTAATATAATTTGAGGAAAAAAGCGATTAATTTGGTTTCTAATTTTTTGCTTTAAAATTTATTAACTTCATTAAATTTCTGTTACCATAGAAATTTTTTAAATTTAGCAGTAAAAACACATATTTTTAGTCGAATCTCTCTAATATGGCCCCCAGTATTACTCTCCATCATATGTCAGTTAAGTTCAGTTCCGATGAGAGAATCTCTCTTAAATTCTCTATGAGAGATTCTATTGCATTCTGGATAGTACCCAAAAGGAGTTGGCTGTAATTTGTTAGTAAAGATCCTTTGTCAAAAAGAGTTAATCCTCTTCTTCAATGATATTATAGGGTTAATAAACTTAATTTATTAAAGGTTTATCAAAATGTTTTTTCCCAATTCAATTCAAAATTCGGAATTTGATGATAACTATAATATTTCAACACCCTATACATTTAATTATGATGGTGGATCTAGTTATCCTTCATCTGATAATGGTCGTGTTAGTTTGGAAGATTTGGAAACACAAATTGATAAGCAATCCCTTATATGTTACAACAATCATTTAAATTTGGAAAATAATCGAGATAATGATTCTGAATTTGTATATTATTTATTTATTAAAATTATTAGAAATAGTCGGAAATTTTATGTTAATCCGGTCTTTGTATTTGATAAAATATCGAAAGAACGACATTAAGTGAAGGCCTCGCATTTCTGGTACAAAGGGGATCCCGTGTATATACCCCTTTTTCCGAGAAATATTTAAGAAATCATACTAATTATTTTAAGTTATAAAATGTTTCAGCTTGTGAAAAGACCAAAAAATTGTGTTGTCTGTGCCAAACCAGCCAAATTTTGTCATTTTGATGTTCCAAGTTGTTCAGGTTCTAAATATTCTAAAACTTAATTAATTTCACATTAAAGGTTGTTTTTCATTCTTTCGTCGGTCTATACTAGATCAACACTTGTATGTTTGCAAAAATCAAGGAAATTGCAGAATTGAAAAGGGTTCGATAATGTTCTTTCAGAATGTTGAGATAAATTTTAAATAAAAGGAGATAGGATTGGTCCCCGATCCGTAGTGGATAATATTTGTGTGGAATGAAAATTCCTTTTTAAGGAATATTCTGCCGTTCCTGCCGTTTTGACCGTTGTCTTCTTGGTGGAATGAACTTTCGGACTATACAAAAATTTCCAAATGGAGTTGATATTAATAAAATTTCTTCAATGATAACTGAGAAAAAACGTCAACTTTTCGAAAAAGCTGCAAAGTCTCAAAATTATCCAGATTTTGGTCAATATGACTTAACAGTGGTAATGGATTATTATTGCTTAGGATCAGAGCTGATCCTAAATTTTATTTAAATTTTGGATAAGGTTATGGTACAAAAATAACCTAAGTTACCATGTTGGAGTCGATGAGACGCTTTGCACAGGATATGGTCTTCAATTTTCGAAACCTATATTTAGTGAACTGTATTTTGGTTTCATTCATTTCCTCTATTCCCCGAATTTTTTATGTAAAATTCTAAATAATGTTTTTTGGATGTCGAAGCCTGGTCCCAGACCCCATATTGGAACCTGAGTCCTCAAACAGAATTGTACCGATTTCGTAATTCATTTTAATTTGAGATACGAGGCTAATTTAGGATGTATCAATAAGTGAGGTCCTACTGTAGTAATTTTGCCTGAGTTAAATTTTGTCATTTATCATTATTATTATCCCTATTTTAGCAGCAAGAATTTTCATCTGGAAACAGTAAACCTGAAGTTGAATTATTACAATTTTTGTTATATTCTGACGATAAACTTTTACACATTCGCTACTCTGAGACAGATATTTCCCCAAATTATTATAATAAAAGTATGTCTGATATTCTAAATAATATTAATGGTGGAGGGTTATCAGATTCCTTCTTGGCAAAATCTGATATGTTTTCGGTAAAATAATAAAATTATTATTTTAAATTTTATTGAAAATTTATCAGAAACGGAGGAGAGTACCTAAAAGCCTTGACTTTTTCATAAAAATATTGAATGAAGGTACAAAATTATTACCAAGTTGGTTTTTCATTGACTCGTTTTTAATTATTGAAATGACGAAAACAATGCCCGTACTTGGTCAACTCTCATTTGAAGATAAGGTTTATAAAAGAAATAAATTTATCTCAGTTTTGTATATCCTTGGGGCGAAAAATTCTTATTAATGGCTAAATTGGATTACAGAGTAAAAAGGGTCGGATTTTTGGTATTTACTATTAGTTTCGCTAGAACCGGACACAACCAATATTTACATTTAAAATATAAAATTTACTCATTAATATGTATAATGTGTCATTAAATGGAGTATAGTATATCTTCTTTTGGACATTTGGATTTAAAAAATTATAAAAATTGAAGTGTATCTAATTTTGGATGTATGAAAAACTGAGAACTGATTGTATTATTGAGATAAAGTAAAAATTCAGATTCATCTTTACTCTCGAAATGGATTGACAGCAATTGTTTTTAGTATGCTCTTTTACAGTAAAAACCTCCAAGGAAGCGATGTATTAATATCTCCTGCTGGAATGAGTCCTATATTAATTAAACATAACGAAACTACTAATCTTCTATTTTACAAGCATTTAATTAAAATAGCAGAATTTAATTTGAGTAGAGAGGAATTTTTGATTCTTAGAGTTTTAATCTTACTTCACACAGGTTTCTCTTAAAAATATTTTACAACGATATAGAGAGACCTGTTTTTAGATTTCCAGTGTTTGTAAGCTCGTACCAAAATTCGTACTCCTACTCGTACCTGTTTACGAAGTAGGGCTGCGAGCAAATCGGCTCGTACCTCTCGTACTTTGACATTAAATTTTTGAAGGGAAGGAAATCTTTATAAAAGTTTAACTCAGTTTTCCCTTTGTTGATGTGTGGTATTGCTTATATGTACTTGATTCATGGTATCAGTTAAAAAGCTCCCTTCAATACAATAACCCCCGAATTAAAAAAACATATTAAATCGAGGTCCTGCTCTATTACATTCCCTATCATAACAGAAAAAACATTTAACTAATGTTTATTATTTAGCTACAACAGAATTGTCAAAGATCGGAATTGAAATAATACATAATGAAATTGAAAAGCTTTCCAAAACTTTAATGTTTTACGAACAGCACAAATTGGGGGATGCGAAAGGGGCAGAGAGATTTGCTAACTTGGTAAATAATTAAGCAAAATTCTGGTTATAATTCTCTAATATGATAGAATCCTTATCCTATCAAGCTTTCGAACATTTTTGTGTGGAACACGTACAGCTAAATCACTTTTTATATACCACTTTTGCTGAAATTGAGGTTTACTTGTCCGCAGTCTAATTAATAAAACGTGTCTTAAATCGTGTACCTAATTTTGGAGTTATCATAAAACAATGTCTGAGTTCAATTTTTTACTTTTAAACGGCATTATCTATCTATTTAATTATTTATTTTTCCCTTTTATCTATTTAGATGATAATTGTAAGAACGATCTTCAACATTGGCAAAGAACATAAAAATTTCACAAAGTATGATATGAGTGAAAGAAAGATTATTTTAAATAAAAATATTTTCCCTAAATTTATGAATAACATAATATTTGAAAACTGTGACGATTAAACTTTAAATACATGCTAAATAATGATTATTTAATTTTGTTTTAAAGAATTAATTTATCAAATTAGTATTTGTAAAAGGTAATACAATTGAACATTTAAATAATCTGAATCAAATAAATGTGAATTAGAGTTGCGCCCCGACCCCGTACCCAGACCCACGTTCCCGAAAGATTTTTCAGATTTTCCCCGACCCGAACCCCGCCCCGAAAAAAGTGAAAACCCCGTCCCCCGATCCGAAAAAGTTCCAATTTGATTTCGGATCCCGGAACTAAAAAACGCCGGAACTTTCCGAAACCGAAACCAGAACTTCCTGTGAAACTCTACCAGATATACACTTTAAATCCATCAAAACCATTTAATCCCACTTTATTCTCATAAATTTTTGAATAAATTAAAGAAAATAGACCAAAAACGGCTTATTTTTAGAGCATTATTTCTTTAAAAAAATTTTCCATTAAACCTCCCTGCCCTAACCATATTTTGCTCCCTCCCCCGACCCGAACCCCGGCCCGAAACAATTCGAAAACCTAATGTGAATGAAAATTACATTCTCGATTTGCTACTTTTAAACAAAGGTTGTCGTATTTTTGGATATAAAGGATTCTCTTTAGATTAAAAAAAAGGTACTTAAATGATCTATTCTGAAAATTACTTTAGTACTAGATTATTTCAGTAACGACAACCTATACCAATAAATGAGGAATTTAAAAATAAATAAAATTAAAAATAATACCAAATAAATAAATTTAAAAAGGGATGGTTACGGTTAAAGGGTTTAGTATCCGTCATTAAACTAACTTTTTCCCCAAATTTTTTTACCGTTTGGAAAAAATTTTTCCAAATACCACTAGTAATAATTACATTCTTTTTTATACTCTTTCTTCTCTTCTCAACGTCCCAATTCTTCAATTTCTCCTTTGAATTCAACAAAAGTTGTTTCCTTTATAGCACCTACAATTTCTCCCTCGAATTTACTAACTTCTCCAGATACTTCAAAAGTTGCTTTCTCAAAAGAATCTTTGTTTTCCTCATCTTTTTTGTGTTGATAACCATTAGTAACAACATTCATTTCCTCAAAACGTTCAAAACGTAAATGTTTTGTATCGATAGAACAAAAAGAATGCCAAGATTGTAATTCGTGTTCCAAAAATAATTCACAATCATTTTTCAGATTTACTTCCTCCACGTTTATACACACATTTTCTAATTCTTCTTTAATTTGTTTTTGTATATTCTCGTATTGTCTAAAGAGTGATAAAAGTTTAATTATGTAATTATTAAAAATAAAATTAAATATATTAAGCGAAATACACTAACTAATACGAAAGTGATGTGTAGTTATGGCGACTTATTAGAAGGAATCCACTATATATTAAATAAAATTTAATTAATTAATTTACCCAATATCAATACGTCTTTGCCCCAAAATTTCATTCAATTCCCATCCATATTCCTGTCCAACACCATTACTCAAAAAATCAGAAAATTTCACAGTTCCATCTTTATTGAATGAATTTTCAATTCTTTTAGTTAAACAATATTTAACAAAAAGGGGACCAGAATCTTTAAAATAATTTTTAATTCCGTCACTTTCAGGTAATATTTGTTTATAAAAAATATTTTCCGGTTCTTCAACAATTTCTTTCGTTTGTATTTCTTTGCTAGAAATATTTTTATTTTTTTCAGCATTTTGTATTTTGGTGGAAAAAAACAATTTTTTCCAATTTTTCACCAAAAATTCATATTTATTTTTTAAACGTTCATCAAAATCTTCAATATTTTCTCCATTCACTAAATTATTCATTTTTTCAATAATTTCATCTCGACGTCCCTCTTCTTCAAATTTTTTCTCAATACTTTTCAATTCTCCAAAATACTCCATTAATTGATTTTTATTTTCAATTTGGCCAATAATTTTTTTGAATTCTTTAAATAATTTGTTTAAATTATTTTCTAAATTTTTTAATTCTTTAGCAGTTACAACATTCTTCTCTTTAACAAATAATTCTCTAATTTTTTTATATAATTTTTCAATTTCTTTATCCACTTTTTCGACATTTAATTTGCATTCCTTCTTCAATTTTTCAGAAATTATCTTTTTAATCTCCTCCATTTTCAATTTATTTTTTACAAATATTTTCAAAAATATAACATAATTTAAACATTTTTGCCATTCTGTTTTTGATTTAATATTTCCTTCAAATTGTTGGAAGAATTGAGAATTGACACTCTTTAAATTAGTTAATTGTTTATTTAAAACATTTAAAGCTTTCTCGTCTTCGTCCTCTTCATTTTTAATTTCTTCCATAACTTCTTCATTTTCTTTTTTAGTTCCTTTTTGAATTTTGAAGATTTTTCGTATCTAAATTTGTTTGAAATAAATAATTTTTAAAAATTTTACTGCGTAAAGAATTTTCTAAATATTATGGTCGGACGGGGTCGCTATAGTATAGGTCCACCGAGATCGGAACTCATAGTATATACCATTCGATTCGTCTCGCCGAGCTGAGTTCAAATATGCAAGAATTTTCTGCGGGACGCGAAAACTCGCAGAGATACAGGCCCTCGAAAATCGAAAAACCATAGGGGGGAGTAAGCTCAATTTAGGGGTAAAAAATTCGAATATGAAAATTATCTCATTCGAAAGAGCTCGTCGAGCTGAGTCGAATGACACCAAAATCAACGAAATCCGACCTTATATAGCCGAGTTACAGACCCCCAAAATTTGGTAATTTCTGGGGTCAAAAAATTCGAACATGCAAATGACCCCTCATTCGAAAGGGCTCGACGAGCTGAGTTGAATGACACCAAAATCAGCTCGATTGGATCAATGTGAACAAAGTTATGACCAATAGAATCTTCGCTGGAAAAACTGTTTTTGTGCTGCTACGGAGGGTAGGCCGGGCATGGTCTTCGCTACACGATGGCCGTGCTTCGCTGCGGTCGTGCTCGCTGCGCTCGCGGCGACCGTAGCGAAGCTGCGGCCGTCGTTCCGCTCGACATGCCCGGCTTCCTCCGCAGCGGCAAAAACTTTTTTCCGCGGAGGCCTTATGGGAGGGGTAAAAACAAACGGTCATAACTTTGTCAAATCAAGCCTGATTTCGTTAATTTTGGTGTCATTCGACTCAGCTCGACGAGCTCTTTCGAATGAGGTATAATTCGCCTATTCGAATTTTTGACTCCAAAAATCAGCTTGGTCCCCCCTTTGTTTTTTCGATTTTCGAGGGCCTATATCTCAGCGAGTTTTCGTCTCCCGCAGAAAATTCTTGCATATTTGGACTCAGCTCGGCGAGACGAATCGAATGGTATATACTATGAGTTCCGATCTCGGTGGACCTATAGTATAGTACAGCCGGTCGGACCCTTCTTCACATGCTTTTTTATTCGATTTTCTAAATTTGACCAGAAAACATTTTTGTGGTTCTAAGGGTACTTTTCAGGTTCCAAGAGGATAAAATTTATCCTCTTGGAACCTGAAAAGTATCCTTAGAACCACAAATTTTTAGAACCACAAGAAAAAATAATTTATTATTTATCGGATAAATGATGTCCCAAGTCCGAATCTATTTAAAATTCTTAGGCAAGGACAAAAGTTAGGAAATTTTGCGGATTCTTTTTCCGAAAATTAAAAACCTTTCTCATTTCAAATTTAATTTTTTTGTATGTTTCATTTTCTTTTTGGGATGAAGACGTTTCTGCTATTTCAGATGGTGTTTTCGTTGTAGAGTTGGATAAACCAAGCATTTTATGAGCTTCTAAGAAAGTGACTTTGTGAAGATGGAAATTGCTTACTAAAAAATAAATTAAAAAAAAAGAAATATATTTCAATTAAATTTACATATTTCTTTAAATATTTCCTCCTTTTGTTTTGTTGTTAATCCATTCTCTCTATCATTAATTGCTAACAATAGGGCATCATTACCCTCTCCCAAATATGCCAAACGAAAACCATCCTCTTGTAAACCAATTTCATTTTCTTTAATTTAATTTAAATAATTAAATTATTTAAAAATTTTACTATATTGAAGTGCCCATTCCTCGGGTCTTTCAAATTCAACATTTTGTTTGTCAATGTAACAATAATTACTCCAATTTTCTTTTAATTTTTCTAGTTCAACATTACTATTCTCTCCAATCATATTGAGAATTTGTTGATAATACCTTTAAAAATTTTTATAAATTTATTTTTAAATAAAGTCGAATCTCCTTATAGTGTACGAACTCGGGCTAAAAAACTCGAAAATTCGTATACGAGACTGAGTTATACATTAGTAAGTTAATCCGAAACCATGGGTCATTTAAAGGGAAAAACCTGAACCGAATTCGAAATATTCAATAATATACGAGTATATTTTAAAATCCCGATACCGCTAAACCCTAATCTGAACCCATTCCAAATCAAAAATATACTCCGAGGGCTTCTATTAGGACATTAACTGTATATATTTATTTACATTTTATCAACTCTTTTCTTTCCCAATTTTTCATTCATTTCCATTCCATATTCTATCAAATTTGTATTTGAAATATTTTGTAATAAAATATCCATATTAACAACTCCATCTTCATTAAATATTTCCAAAAATTTATTTGCTAAACAATAAATAATTGCTGATAAACTTGAAGTATTTATTTGTCCATTACTTTGTGAAGTCTAAAATTAAATTAAATATTTATTTCATTTTTCATTTTTTGAATAAATTTATTCAAAATTTTAATTTAAACAAACCGAATCTTTGTCTATTAATTTCTCATAATTTCCAACTAAAAAGGCCAATTTCTCCTTTAATCTGCCAATATATTCTTTTGTTTCCTTCTTCAATTTTCCTCCCAAATCTTCATTCTTTTTAATTTCATTTTTTAAATTTCTTTTCTCCAATTTTTTAATTTTTTCATTCAATTTATTTTCAAATTTGTTAATTTCAATAATTAAATTATTTTTAACTTCATTTAATTTTGTATTATCATCAACAACTTTACTCAATTCTTTCAAATCTTTATTTTCTTTAATTTCTTCTCCACATTTATTTTTAAAATTTTCCAAATATTTTTTCATGTTTTCAGACAATTCTTTCTTCTTTTTTGATAAAATTCGAATTTTTGACAAGAATCGAGTAATTGATTTTAAACGATTTCCTTCTTCGCCTTGATTTTCATTTAAAACAAATTTCAATACATAAACAGACAATCCACAGGCTTTTAATTTTTCTTTTAATTCGATTGAAGTTTCAACACGAGACAATTCTTTTTTGTCAATTAATTCTTTTTGAACATTTTTATTTGTTTTTAACTTAAAAAATAAATTTAATTAAAAATATATTTTACACAAACTTTTCCAATTTCTTCTTTCAATTGCCAATAAATATTTTTTTGAATTTCTTTTTTGATTATTGATGTTATATCACTTCCTGCTAGATGATCACTCAAATTTTTATGAAAGGAAGCAATTATTATATGTGCCTCAGTAAATGTTAATTTATGTAAATTGAAACGTTCCACTTAATTTAAAATATTAAAAATAAAATAAAAATTTAATTTATTTCTTACAAGCTCCATTTTTGAAGTTTGCCCATTCGTTGCTTCCTTTGTTCAAATGATTAAAGTCATTAGGATCAATATCAGCGAACACCAGATCAGCAAGATTGAAATTGTCATTGTGTATTGTATTGACTGTGCGAAATAATAAATTTTAGAAAACTAATTTTTGTTTTTCATTGGAAGTTTTAATAAAATTTTGGTACTTTTCCGTTATATGCTTTAGGTATAAATCTTTCAGTCCACAGGTTTAGGAGGCTGAGAGGATAAGTATGGGAGATACTAGGACACAGTTCCGTTGAGTTATGTTGAAAAAACATAGTGTGCCATCTTTTTGAAACGCAGTGTAGGTATAAATCTCTCAAAGATATCAGCCACCAGGGATTTACGATCATAATGAGTGGTAAAATTTAACTTAGACCGATGAACAAACAAAAAGAATCAAAAGACTTTGGAATCCGGCACTACCTAAAGTACAGTCAATGAATTTGACGGTACTTTTTAATGTAAAAGTACTGTGAATCACAATTAAATACTAAATTATTTTTAAAAATAATCTATAAAATTTTATCATATTTCACCTGTTTGTAGTGCCCATTCATCTGCTTTTTCAAATTGAACATTATCTCTGTCAATAGCACATATATTCCCCCAATAATCATTCAAAATTAAATCTATCATTTTACCCAACTTTTCTGTCTCAGTGGAGGTTCCTGCCTCCTTTTGATTTTTTGTTTTTAATTTTAGAATATTTTCTTTAAATTTATTTTCAAGTTTTTTGTAATATTCCAAGTCTACTCTTCTTGGACCCAATATTCCATTAATTTTTGTCGCGTATTTCAAAAGATATGAATTGTTATCTTTATAAAACTTTGTCTTTGCCTGTCCTTCATCGTTAAAAACAAATTGGAAACGTTTTGCCAAACAATAGCCAATGAATGAATGGCCATTTTCTTTTAAAGTTTTTTTAACATTTGTTGGAATTTCTTTAATTTTTTCAATAATTTCTTCCCAATTGTTTTTAAGGAATTCGAATTTTTCAATCATACGCTTTTTGTAAGCCCTATTTTCATTATCCACCTAAATTAAAAGAAAGAGTATTTACAAATTAACTCTAATTGAAGTTCGCTTCTATTAGAAGCCTATCTTAAATCCTCTACCAAAATTTAATTTATCTAAACTATATGCTCAAACAATTACACTATTTAATTAATTATTTTTCATTCTCTCGCTGTTGGGGGTAATTAATTGAGAGAGGATAAAATTGAAATTAATTTGTTTTTAAATTGAAAAATTTTAATTTAAAAATTTAAAAGAAAATAATGTTTATTTGAGAAAAGAATATTTGACATGGTTTAAAATTCTTCAAATTTATTTTTAATTTATCCATAAACTATTTAAAATTTATTCTTACCTTCTTTCTAAACTCTTCTACCTTTTTAACATCCTTTAAAACTAATTTTTGTTTATCCAATTTTTTCTTATTTTTGTCCAAAATTTTTACAAAATCTCTGGTTTCCTTAGCCATTCTCGTCAAATATTTTTTTAAATTTAAACGTTTAGTAGCCAAATCCATAATTCTTTCCCAAGTTTTTCTTTTAAATTCATCATCTTTTGTCAAAGTTTTTTTCATTTCTTCATCTAATTTTTCTTCAAAATCTTTTTTAACGATATCAGTTTGTTTTCTTAAATTATTTTCTATTTTCTCTGTTTTTGCTTGATTTTTGTTTTCATTTTTGAATGGAACAAGAGATTTAATTAAACTTGTTGTTGCCTTTTTAAATTCACATTTAGACTCAATTTTGTGAATTATTACGGCTAGAAACTCTGGAGCATTTCCATGAATACCCAATTGCTTTAATTTTCCGATTATTTCTTTCAAAGAAATAGGAGAATTTACTTTAATGGAAAAAATTAAAATTTAATTATTTATAATAATATTAAAAATAACCATATTTTTCATAAGAAAAATTACATATAATATTTCAAATATTTTTTTAAAAATTTATTAAAATTTCAAACCAATTTCCATTGGTTGTCCATTTAATTCAGCCAATTTTATTTTCAATCTCAACAAAAATAATTTTCTCAGTTTATATTTGAGGTTTATCTTTCTCAATTTTTCACGTTTATTTTCTTCATTTTCCCCATTTTTTCTTGAAAATATTTTCGAAATTCCTTCCTTTCTAACAAAAATTCTTTCGTTTTGTATTAAATAATTATCTATATCTTTTGTGATTTCATCCTTTATTTCATTTAATTTCTCATCTTCAAGTAATCCAGATTTTTCTATTTTATCCTCATTATCAATCTCCAAAGCGGTAAAATGTAAAATTTTCCCGTACAAACCGCATTTTAGAATTTTACTTTTTAATTCAATGTTCGTCTCAAAATTGTTTAAAGCTTTGTTTAAGCTCTTTATATTTTTGTTTTTCTCAAACTAAAAACAAATTATAGAAAAATAAATGATTCTTAGTAACAATAAAATTATTTTTTTAATATCAAAATGTTGAATAAACATTATTATTTTTATATTTTTAATATTATTATTTAAAATTTTACAAAATTTAACGCCTCAACTACACTTATATTTATCAATTCATTATCTTTGACTCTTTCGAAATCAAGATTGCCAGTATTGTTCCAGTTGGAGACAATAGTCATATAATGATGACTTTCCGTTAAACTCAATTTGTGCTTCTCATGATATGGTGCTAAAAAGAGTAAATTGATAGGGAAATAGGCTGATTCACCCAGATATCTTGTATCAAAAAGGTACGAGGCGTATAAATTCTGGTAAGAACTTCCTAGCGTTCCTATTGTCGACTAAACTATCCCATTGCCGACTAAAATTATATAATCTTAATTATTCCAGCAAATATTTTAAGTATTATTTACAAATTTCATTGATGAACTCGCTAAACTTTTCTTCATCATATCCATGCATTTCCGGTATTTTCTTCAAAAGGTCATCCTCTAAGTAGGATAAATTGAAAGTTAAATCTTCCTTTACTTCATTTTCTATAAATTAAAAATTATTTTTATTTTTTCCTTTTATTTAATTCCAAACCTTTATAAAATGGTAATGCCAATTTTCCAATATTTATTTTTTTAAATAATGATTCTGGAATGGGTTTTCCCCACATTTTATTCCAGGTTTTTGTAACGGATTTATAAACCACGATCATAAATTTTGTAACTTTTTTTCCATATTTATAGTTTAATTTTTGCATTTTTGTATGATATATTTTATAAACTTCTTTTTGTTTAATTTCTCGGATCCCCTCATGAGGGGTTTTCATTTGTTCTATTGTTCGATCAATGATAAGTCGAACCTGGAATTAAAAATGTGAAACTAGAAAATTTTGTTAAAAATATATTTGGGGCATCTTAGTTGGCCCTATTGAGAAACGGGTTATTTAATCTTCAACTATGAGTATATCAATCACTTACCATCTGTTTATTTTTCATATCGTCTGTACTCCACCACTTTTCTATTAATTCCGCTCCAAAATTATTTGCCGAAAAAGTACCAGCAATAAAAGAAATAATCTCTGTTGGCGTATTAACCATAATTATAATGATTTTTTCAAGAACTTCCGGAATTTTTACCCCAAACAGAGAAGGAAAATACAAGGCGAATAATACAAATGAGCTTATCAAAGCACCGATTCCCATTGAATTAATGGCCATTGCAGAAGTTTTTTGTATATCCATAGATGCTTCGATTTTTGATTTGATGTATTCCCGGAATGCAATAAATCTTTCCTTGTTTGTAATTATTGGAGATGTTTTTGGGGTTTTCGGAGTAAAAATATGTTCCCAATTTTTTCGTTTTTTTTCAGAAATTCTCCATTCCAACACAATTTTATCACCATCTGGTTTTGGAAGAAATCCTTGATCGTATAATTTATATAGGGCCGAACGTTGATGGTCACGCCATTCATTGAATTCTAGAGGTACCATTGGACCAGAAGTAGCTGTTGCTACCTGAAATTTAGAGAATATTTTGGTGTTTAGTTTATTTAAAAAATGATTTTTTTTAATTTTTCACATACAAGATTTGCCGGAACAGCGGGAAGTATTGAAGTCCATTGAGCATTTTCCGGAAACGATTTACTAATCTCTTCCATTGCCAGTAAGTTGTTAAAAAGAGATCCGCCAGCGGCTATTTTTCCTGCAGCGACTGCAACGCTCATATTTTCATCAAAAATAGCCTTAGAACTTGGCCAAAAACTTCCACCATCGAATGAAATTAACAAACGTTTTATAACGAGCGAATCAAAAGTTTCTGATGCGCGGGGTGTCAACATGTAGAGGAACACTCCCACAGCTTGAGCACAAGGAATGCATCCAGTCAGCGAAATTAATAAAATTATTCCCGGCCAAACGCCAATATCAAGAACTGCTGAAATTAATCCAGAACCACTCATACTTATTAACAAGGCATTCCAAAAGTCTTTAGTTAATTCTTTGGCGTTGTAGACAGATCCGAGTATTTGTGCCCCCATTCTGTAATTATTATTTATTTATTTATTAAGTATAAAGTTATGAGGAACTACTAGACTATAAAAATAAAATAATAATTATTATTTTGTTTGCAGAAAATTTATTAAATTTTATGTTTTTGGGGAAGCTATATAGACCATTCCAAAGGTCTTTAGTTAATATATTTCTTAAAGCCTGGGGTTGAATCCCAAAATTTTTGTATTAGGGATCATCGATCTGTTGGCTTGGGGCCATCTGTTATCTTATTCGTATAAATTTGTGATATTATTCTGAAAATTTTAGGAATTACATATATTTAAGGTGATGTCTGAAAAATGTACATATCAATTAAAATTAAAAGACAGACCTTCCTCGGAATTCCTGATGTATAGTGTCACTTTCATCATTATAACGTAACACTTGTAGTATTGAATCTCTTAAAACTTTACAATTTCCAATACCTCTGTCAATATCTGTCAACTCTTTTTTCAAGATTTTAAAATGTTCAGCAACAAACTTTCTATTATTTTCAACCTTTCCTTTCTTCTGGAACTTTTCTTTTATTTTGCGTTTAAACCCCAAATTTAACCATTTAAATTCTTCATTTAATACTTCAATAATATCCGTTGTCTTAATCTTCCCTTCAAGATCTTCCTTTCCTTCTTTTCTATCTCTACCTCCCTTTATTTTTTCCATTTCTTTAAATATAAATCTCAACAATTTTTCACTCAATTTCTTTTTCCATTTATTTTCAGAATTTTCCGACAGATCATTGTTTGCTGTTTCATTTTCTTCGGAAGACAAATTAAGAAATTCTTGAGGATTTTTGAAAAATTCTATCAACTCTTCATATTCTTCTCCATTAATATTTTTAAACCGTTTGTCTGATGGTTTAATACTCACTCCGAAAGTTGTTTCCTAAATTTTTATTTTAATTAATCGAGATTTTATAATTGAAAAACCACAGAAATAACCAACGATTTACTTACTCGTACCTGAGAAAAAAGCAAAAATCGTACGAAAGTACAATTTGAATTTTGGGCTCGTACTCGTACTTTGTACCTGCTTATTTTAACCTTGTACCTCGTATTTTGTACCTAAGTACGAGTACGAATTTGGTACGAGCTTCCAAGCAGTGGACAGAACCCATTGAAAGGTTAATTAATTTCAAACTTTTAGGTGTGATAAGAATTATTTAGCTAAAATTTATTTATTTACCTTAAGGAATTCAAATACATGCGGTTTATATTCAAGCAACTTCTTGTGACCTTTTTTATCTTTTTTTATTTGTATTTTCTTTTCAAAGGATTTTCTCGCATCTTTTTCCCAATCAGTAACAATTTTCTTCCATTTACCTATCTGTCCTTTCTTTTCTTCAACTGTTTGATATCAGTTCAGAATTCCTATCATTTTCTTTCAATTGCTTCTTTCTTTTCAAAAATTTCTAATTTTAATTTTTTATCAATTGCTAACTTGCCATCTTTAAATTTTTTAAGCTCTAACATTTCTTTATCAAAATCATCATTTTCTTCTGTTGGTGGTTCTTCCTTCTGCGAGGATGTTTGATTTCCTGTATCATTACCAATTTTTTTCTCCATCCTCTCAATCATATTTTTCAATATCTTATGTATTTTCTGAGAAATCCTTTTAGATGCATTTTTAAATTTCTTCTGTTTTTGAATTTCGTATTTATATTCCATTTCTGGGATTTTTTCAAAATTCAAAATAGAATCCTTTGTGAATGCTTCACTGCCCTTGTAAATTGCCTCTAGCAAAACATGTGTACTCAAACGAACATCTCCCTCCCCCTCTTCTTCTTCCTCATCATTATTCTCCTCTTCTTTGTTATCTTCTTCATCGTCATTCTCTTCTTCTTCCTTCAATAATTTATCATAAACCATTTTCTCTTCGCCATGAACCAACTTTTCCAATTCATCTCCAGAAAAAGACAAAGCGTTGTCGAGCAGAAATGCTTTTCCAAAAATATTTTTTGGCAATGGGAAGCCTATATTGCATTTATCATTTTGAAATTCTATCTGTTCAAGTTTTTCTCTCATTCCTTCAATTTTATCAATTTTCAAATAAAAATATTCCAATAATTTTGCAACAGTTATATCTTTTGATGTAATATATTTACATCCCTTCTTTGATTTTTCAAGATTTTCATCACCCTTTATTTCAACAAAATCTTTTTCTTTACAATAAACATCACCGTCAATAACCTTCGGCATAAAATATTGTGTTTTACCAACCAACTTCTGAACATATGCCGACCCTTCAGAACTGTGTCTTGAAATGAGACTTTTTCCCCCTAAACCACCTAGGCTTCTTCCAGAAAAAGCAGTTTGGATCAGACAATTGAAAAATAAGAATAGCAGAAATGATTTTTTCTGCATCATCTAAAAGTTAAATAAAATTATGTTTTTATTTTCTCTTAGTTCTCTTAGTTTAAAACTTTTCATAATAAATAACTTTTTAATTACTTAAGGACCTCTTAGAATAATATAAATTATCGCTTTGTTTTAAATAACAGTCGAAAAAGAATAAAAATGCAAGCAATTAAGCGATTATAAATTAAAGGATACAATTTAAAATAGACTGACTATGGAGAAATTGCAAAGCATTTTATAACTCGGAAATTAAGATGGCGTGCGTTTATTAGAGGCGGATCGCTGGGCATCTAATTGTTGTATAAGCAATTAGATGCCCAAGGATACAATTTAAAATAGACTGAATTTTGCAAGAATAAAGGGGAAAATAAGGAGATTTGGCGAGATTGAGAGGCAATGAAGGGATATGTCTCTTAATCCCTCAATTAAGAGATTAAGAGACATTTTCTTAATCCCTCAATGTTTCTTAATCCCTCAATGTCTTCCCTCAATATCCATCCCAAACACCCCCATATCCCTCTTAATCCCAAAATCCCTCCAAATCCGTTGCTATCCATCCAATTTACCCGTTATCCCTCTTAATCCCTCAATATCCATTTAAATAAATCTTGATATTCTCTTAATCATTCTATTTTTCTGGTGTCCGGATCCAAATCCGGGTTTTTTCGCGATTTCCAGATTTTTTTCGGACAGTGTTAATCCAGAAAAAGTTGCAAAATCCTTTTTTGCGCCGCAGGCGAAAATTTTAAAAATTTGAAAGTCTTTCACAAAGAATTCATTTATATAAAAATATGACAAACTTTTTTGTTAAAAAATAAGTTTATAATAATTTATTTTCGAAAGAAAAACAATGATTTATTAATTTATTAAGTTCATGTTCGAACCTAATACTATCCTGTCAATCACACATCCTTATGAAAGGTACTTTGTCGAGCCGTACGAGTCTTTTTCAGGCCAAATATCATAGGTCCGACTCGATCTTTGTATCTTTGGAACCGGTTCTAAACCGGTTCCGGCCCTTAACCGATTCCACGGTTCCGGTTCCAAATCCAGACGACATTTATCAGTTCCACGGTTCCACTTACGGAATCTCTCCTCTTCTTGATTTTTGCAAGCTTTTTTTCTTACAAACTTGTCGTATTTCTTACAAGCTTGTCGTCTCTCTGCTCCTTATGATTGCCACGAGCTATTCTTTACTCTCCTCTCTATAATTTGTCACGAGCTTATCGACTCTTTCCTTACCTCGAGGGAAAGAAAGACAACTTACCTTTGTTTGAATCAGAGCTGCACCGAAATTTCGATTTCCGACGTTTTTTTCTTTCGATTTTCTATTTCCGATTTTCGAATTTTCCATAAAATTTCGATTTTCGATAATTTTAATTTTTTTGATTTTCGTTTTTTTGCAAAATTGCAGCATCTTTTCTCTTAATATTTTAATCCTGCGGCGCCAAAAAGAAGAAATCTGGCTTATTGGCCATCAAACCTTCTTAAAATTTTTGCATGCGACGCTGAAACAGGAAGTTTTAGCCTAAGGATCATACAAACGCCTGCAGCGCTGAAAATGGACGAAGTCTGTCTCCTTTGCCTTCCAATTTTCTCAAAATTTTCACCTGCAGCATTGAAACAGGAAGAAATCTGGCTTTTTGGCCTTCCAAAATTTTCGCCTGTGGCGCGGATGAAAACAATTTTGGCTTCGGCGCATTAAGCTATATAACGGAATTTCATTTATTTTTCAGGGATTTGGAGGGATTCGGTTGATATAGGCTAGATATATAACCCGAATACATGGATATATCGCTCGATATATCTCCCCAAATCTGGATATATCACCCGATATAGGATAATTGTGGATTTGGAAAGTCATCAGTTGTTATAATAATATCAGTAAATTTCAGGTCCCCCCCCCCCCCCCCCAAATATCTGATATGCCCCATCATCTCCAAAAAATCTGGCTTCATGTTCAAATTTTACTAACCCGAACCCAACTTTTTTCTCAACCCGGCCCATCCCTTGTTTAATATTTTTTATTTATTTTTAAAAAAATTTCGATTCTTGACGTTTTTTTCTTTCGATTCTCGATTTTCGAATTTTTTAATATAATTTCGATTTTTAATTTCGATATTTTTGGATTTCTTTCAATTTTCGATTTTCGAAAATTTTTTTGTTTCGACGCAGCTCTGGTTTGAATTCAACAATATTAATAATTTGTATATTTAATATTAATAAGTTTTATATTTAATTTTAAAATTATAAAAGGTTTGTCAATTGTATAGATAAATAGAAACTAAAAACTTGTAAAATTAATAATATTATTTACTAAACACTTTTTTAATGGTTTTGCTTAATTACGAAATACCTTTGTTTTGTTAACAAAACATTGCTATTGTCTCCATGTAAACGCCGACCCATAATTCTGAAGGATTTTTGGCATATTTGGAAAGATATCAATATATTTTTGTGTTTCTTGCGTTGTTTTTTCCCTAAGTTGAGTTTCAAATTTATTTTTTCCACAGCAGTAATATTTTTAATAAGGAACATGTCGAGGTATTTATGATAAGTAGGTATATTTATGGATTAAGAAGTATTTAGGAGGGTTTAATACGAGCAAATTCCTTATACCCATCCATTCCCCTTACTCCACCGATATATGCCCAAATACACCCATGCTTCCTTAACCCTCCATCCTCCAAATCCCCTTTTATCCTCTTTCCAGCTCCACCGATATCTCCCTTAATCCTTAATCAAGTTATTATTCCCTTAAAAATTTTCTTGTGAATTTGAGATTGTTTTTAATTTTTAATAATAAAAAAATTAGTAAGCATATCAATTCTTGATTTTACTATGTTGACAAATTTTTGATGAATTTTAAAACATTTTTCATTCTAACAATAAAATATAATTTTATTTCTTGAATATATTTTTTATAATTTTCATTTATTTCTATACTTCCTCATTTTTATTTATTTAATATTTATGGACACATTTTAATGTTAGTTAAACAATCCTAAAATATTCTTTATATAAACATTTTTGATTGAAATGATTTTATAAACAAATTTTATATTTAAATATTAACAATTATTTTTAATTTTTACAAAAAAATGGTAAGGAATACCGCATTTTCTCGATTAATTTCCCTGGGGAATTATTTTTTCAACCCTTCCTTGGCATTGGGAATTAATCGAGTGAGGGGAATTATTCGAGTTTTGGTATTTGAACGAGCAGTAGGATATTTGGGAGTGGGGAATTATTGTTTCAACCCAACTCTAGCATGGGGAATTAATCGAGAGGGGGAATTATTTGAGGGAAATTAATCGAAAAACTACGGTATATTTTATTTCAAAATTATTTTAAATTACAGTCATTTGCGGAAAGAAATTTTTCTAACGTTAACAAATTCTGTCATCTGTTTTTAAGTTTTTTTCTTAACTAA